CTAGGAAGTCATTCTAGACCTAGCTCTGGTGTTAACTGGATGTGCATCATTGTGGAATTTCATAACTGCATGGCCTCAATGCTAATACGTTAAAAATTAAAGGATTATGCAAGATGTTTTAAAAGTCCCTTAAGCCACTAAAAATGTTTTGACTATTATATAAGTGAATGAGACTCTTTAAGTATTTTTAATTTTAACTATTTACCACAAATTAACTTTTAAGACTGTTATAGGTTGAATTATATCTCCCCTAAATATAAGTTGAAGTTCTAACCCAAGTACCATACTGGGAAATAGGTGAGCATATTTGAAAATGGGATCTTTTGCAGATGTCATTGATTAAAATGAGGTGATACTGGCCCTTTGAGTAAGCCCTTCATCCAATATGATTTGTGCCCTTACAAAGGAAAAAAGAGAGAAAGAGACATAAACCCCTAGGGAGAATTCCAAGTGATGACAGAGGCAGAGATTGGACTAATGTGTCTACAAGCCTAGGGGTGTCAAGAATTATCAGTAAGGACCAGAAACTGGCATAAGGCAAGGAAAAGACTCCCTTCAGAGCACCTGGAAGGAATCAACTGTCAACACCTTGATTCTGAATTTCTAGACTCCAGAACTGTGACAGAAGAAATCTCTATTGTTCTAAAACACCCAGTTGTGACACTGTGTTATAGCAGCCCTAGGAAACTAATGTAAATGTTAGGAAACTAATGCAACACTTTGTATATGAATCTCATTTTTATGTTTGCATTTTAGATACATAGTTGGTTATATACGTTTTTACACAAAGGTATGACCCCATTCTCAATTGTGTTTGGGGGAGTCACATTCTATTTCAGTTCATTATAGATGCACTGCATTACTAATCCACATTCTAGAAATCTGAAAATGTCTTCAGGAAAAAATACTAATTGGTAATAAGCATTTTTTGGAAAATCTGTCTGCCTGGAAATGAATCAGCCACTGAAATAGTTTCATTTCCTTCAGTCTCTAGATTTTAGAGGCACTGTGAAGTGATTAAGGGATTAAAATCCTAATTCTGCTACTTCTTTGCTGTTGTTTGCACCTTGGATGAGTTTCTTAGCTTCTCTCCCCAACCCTCTTTTCACCAAGGAACCAAAGAAGCAGGTGGCAATTGGCACATAGCGAGTACTATGGTCTGAATTTTTGGGTCTCTCCAAAATTCATGTGCTGAATTCTAATCCCTAAGGTGTGACTACTGAATATGGGGCTTTAGAGACATGGTTAGGCAATCCCTCATGACTCACCAATGTCCTTATAAAAGAGACAGCATAATGCTAGGCAGTATCTTCTGCTTTGTGAAGATGGAGTGAGAAGACTCATTCTATGAACCAGGAAGTAGGCCCTCATCAGATGCCAAATCTTTTGGCACCTTCATATTAAGCTTCCCAGTCTCCAAAATTGTGAGAAATCGAGCTACATTGTTTTTAAAGTATTGTGGCTTATGGTATTTGGTTACAACAGCCCAAGTGATTGATGCCAGCAAACTATTGAACACGTGCTAAATGCCAGTCTCTTCCTTCCTAATGCTTGTAGCTCACTGTCATGAATTTATGGCATAGAGCAACTCTAGCATGCCACTCACCTGCACCAAAACATTACATGGCTCTCCACTGTCCTAGTGAACAAGGTAAACAACATACAAACATTGGCCCCATCTAATTTTCACCCTCTTTTCTCCCTTACTTTCTATCTAGTCAAGGTCCTAACTCCTATATTTTAACACAGCTCATATTTATCCCCTACCCATAAGGCTTCCCAGATCATCTGTATCAGACTTTCTCTCCCTCCACCATATTCTATAGCACAAGGTGAAGATCTTTTTCTAGGATTCCCAGGAGGTACTTGTGTATGCTATGTCTCATTTGACAGATTATAACCTTCAGGAGGGCAGGGCCTCTATCCTTCCCACTTTGTATCCCCTATAATACCCAAGAGAGAGTTTAACACTTACTAGCTACCCAATAAATGGTTGTTAAACTTAGTTGAGCCCCTATATTTTTTCTTTGTGGTAGATGCCCTAAGAAAAACATAAAATAAATGAATTACTTTTTCTTCTTTCCATTGTAATATATATGCCCTGGGCTAGTGAGTATTTGCAAGCCTGGTTTAGAACTTAGAAAAGTCATCAATCTAAGAGAGGGAGGAAATGCATTTTAAATCACAGAGCAATATAGCCTTACATAAGGCCTTCTAGCAAGGCACTTATTGATGGGCCATAACCCAGGTGCTGGTGTTATCAGAACAAAAGTCTGAGGTTGAGAGACAATGAGTGATCTTAACTTTTATACTTCATAGGTATGCAATTCAATGAAACATCTACAGATGGAAAGTTTGGATTTGAGAATCATATGTGGGTATCACAATGCAAATAATTGGCTTTCTTTCTAAAGAACATCTGTTGAAACATCTGAAAGCAGTTGTTTATACTGCTGCCAAAATGCTGAAAAATATAATAATTCTCAAATGAGGTTAGAAATATCCAGGGGAAGAAAAATGTTTTTTTATGTAGTTCTGTTTTTATTAAATCTTCTTGTTGTTTCTCTAATATGGTACATAGGAGATGTTCAATAATATTTGTTGAATGAATGTTGAATGAAAAGCAGAAACTCATTAAACGGTTGTTGAATGAATCATTTCTCTCTTTTTTTGGACTTATAAGATACATTTTCAGAAAATAGTATTCTCACAAAGTTTACTCACGTCATATACCATTTTTATCTGGCATAAATTTAAGTAATGCTACTCTTGCTCTGTACATTATGGGATATAATCAGCACATATATCTATAAGAGAAAAAAAATCTCAACACTATACAAAATGTATGAGTAAAGCTAGATCTATGATAGCAACATTTTAATATCTTAATATGTTACTTTTATTCATTATGAAAATGTAAAATTTGAATTGTGAACTTACATAATTATGCTTGCTTCAATAAACAAAATAAAAATTTAAAACCCTGCTAATGCCTTATAGTTGTAGTAGCTCTGTGAAGATTCTAATGAGATTTAAAAGCAACAGAATGTTCTGGGATGTGAGAAAGACGACTGTAGAAGATGAAGATGCCATTTCTTCCCTCATTCTCCCTTTCTTGAATTTTCTAGCAGCTCTCTTTTCCATACTCCCAGATGAGTGAGGCGACTGAGCTCCAAAGGCTGCCCAAACTTGCTCTGCCAAGTTTCAGTCCAGAAAGAACATGTTAAATAATAAATGGAGTTTGAGTGTAACTAATAAAATTGGAATGTTAAATAGCATCATGCTTTTGAAAACCAGCCTCCTTGTGAGGATGCTCCCTGTGCACGTCCACATGAAATAATTCTGAAGGGAGTGATATTAATTAGTAATATAGTTTATCTTCTGGAAGCCCTTTCTTTTGATGGCTGCTGTGGTATGGTTCAGAAGGCTCAAGTGCTCAAAGAAAATGACTCCAACCACAATTTCAGCTTTGTTTTCCATCCTTGAATGGATAAAATAGTCCAATTTATTTCTGTATATCTAAGTGATACACATGTATCCTAAAATGAAGGATTATGAGTTATAAAAAGGTACTTAAGAAGGGTCTTGAATGAAATGATAAAATGCTTGTGATATAATAAGAAGAAAGACAAGAGCAGAATCCCAAACTGAATTTGTAGTTTCTGAGTCCAGATTTCTTGATTTCAGTTGTCTGTCATATACTAGGTTGGCAACCTTGATAAGATAGAGAGTCCAAATCCTGATTCTGATACTTCCTATCTATTGTATGTGACCTTGGACAACTTACTTAGCTCTCTCTGCTTCAGTCCTCCAAGTATCAAAACCATTGGTCTCATAGGGTTGATAAGTATATTAAAAGAATTAATATATGTCAAAGCCTCAGATGGTCATTGAGTTGAATCATTTATTGAATTCAATTTGCTCACTGAATTGTTCTGTGCCTCAATTTCCTCAATTATACTATGAAAGTCCCAAAAAAAAGCCATCTTGGAAAAGTCTAGAGTTTTCAGAATAGTACTTGGCAAATATGTGATTCATTAGAGTAATATTATTAAATAATATTAACTATTGGTATTATACATAATAATATATATTTATTATTTATTCACAATAATTTCAAGTTTTGTAAAGAAAAAATGCTGGGTGAGGAGGGTTATCTGAAAGACAATAGCCAAATTTTCATTAATGTTTTTTTCTTAATATACTTACAGGTAATTCTTTTCTGCTTCACTACACTTTTCAGTATGTTTTCTTTTATAATAAACTTGAAAAACTACATTTTATGCCAACATGACTTGATAGAAATTAAGGCAGAAATTCGGAATAGGTTAAAATTTATAACTGATTATACTGCAGCACGTATGAAATATTAATTAAGCCTATTGTGATGTGACAAAAATTTAGATTTACCTTATTTTACTTAGTTCTGAATACCTTCTAACTAGAAATTACTTTTCAAAGCTTAACCAATGTCAATTTTACATTCAGAAATGAAGTCAAATGTTTACTACAATGTCAATATTTTGACCTACCAAAAGTAAAAATATTTTATTTTTTAATCTAAAAAATCCCATGCGAAAGTCCCAAAGGTGCCTTTCATGTTTAAGCTTTAATTAGTAACCACTTTGGTCTCTGACACACATTACGCAGATATTGAAGTGTTAATATTACTGCAGCTTGATTACAAAAGGCAATGATTAATTTTAAAGCAGAGGAAAAAAGATATGCCCTGATTACAAAGGAATGATTAAGGCGGAATGTCAGACATTGCACATTTATAGCACTCTTGCCATCTTCCAAGGATAAGACTTTGCAAAAGTCTATATTTAGAACCACGGGTACTTTAGTACTTGGGGACACTGGGTGTTTGTGTCTTGGAGCCTGAGCACCTCAGCTCTTTTAAGGCCTAAAGTCTTCTTTGGTCCACGCACGGAAAACTACCCTGACTGTCTCAGGGGCCCAACCAGCCACCATAGTTGGAAGTTCTCGCGAGGCCAGAACGAGAGCTCTGGCCACAGCCCTCCCGAAGGTTTCCCGCCCTAGCAGTGTTGGCAGGTGCCATTTTGCTAAGAGACTGAGAACTTTGAAGGTCTCGGACCAAAGAAGTGAGGGCCCTGGGAGGAAAAGACTGGCCACAGGAAGGGCTGCTGGCCAGAACCGCTTGAGACTTGCATGAGGGCGTGGGGTGGGGGACGGGGAACCCGGACATGCAAACTGCCAGCGGGGAAACGGAGGCCCGTGGGCGGCTCCCGCCTCTGGGCCTAGACCGTGGCCCGCGTGGGGCCGCGGCTTGGCGTGGGCAGGGACGCGAGTTGGAGGCAGGTCCAGCTGGAAACCGGCTAGAAGAAGCCGTCCTTATTGTCTTTCCAGGATCCTCAGACTCGGTTATAAAATATTCAGCAGCCAGAGAAGGATTCGCGGGAGGCCAGGCCCGAGATGAGCCTGGAGTCCCTGTTTCAGCACATCATCTTCAGCGAGCATCAGGCCGAGGAGAGTCGTCGGGTGATGCGAGAAGGTCGGGTGTTTTTGCCCTTCGCTCAGAGCTTTTTGTCTTCTCCAGCTGGGAGCTTGGAGGACGTAAATAGCCTATGGTAGTGATCAGAGCCCTTAGGGGAATCTGTCTTTCTCCTTGAGGGAAAGACAGCTGGAAAGTGGCCTACCAAATGCTCCTGGAATGGGGACCTAAGAAAGATTGATGTGTCTAAAGATTTCATTTCTATTGCAGTAAGGTCAGAAATAACCAGATGTCGTGAAAAAATTAAGAAAGCAACAGAGGAGCTGAATGAAGAGAAAATCAAATTGGAATCTAAGGTATTGATGTGGACAGCATGCTAATTATCACTTGATAAAGCTGGATTGGGGGCAGGGATATTTCACTATCTAACAAACTTGTCCTTCAACCAGGAATCTCTTGACTTTCTGTGTCAGTTTGCTGTCATCCAGTAATATTTAAAAGTTCTGAATCTGGTGATAACCTTCGGTTCTAATATGTACTTTCCCCAAAGAAACCAGTTTAAGTAATGAAGAATTCATCATTCACTTCATGGGATGGTTAAGGTTTTAAAGGAGCACGGTGTCTTTGGAAGAATAAGTAGTCAGTTTAGTATATAAATTAGGAATAATAAATAATTGAAGTGTGCTATGTCGATCTAATGGATTGAGCATAATTTTCACAGGTCTTCTTTTGTTTTTCAGTTCTTTGGGGGCATGTCTTTCATCCAAAAGTACACTGCTAGCATTTATCTTTTTGCTGCAGCATTTGTAAAGTTCTGTTATTTTAAATTGGAGTGAGAGTCCAATGGCTCCTTGAAGGATTTTGAAGAGTGGATAAAGTTTTGGAGAGGCAGACAAAAGAAGTAGAGAAAACATCTCTTGAGTCTGCCTGAGTCCTATTGGGAGAGAAATCTAGTCAAAAGTAGAGGACTGCTATCTGGGAATAGGAGGAAACTCTTACAAGTTCATAATCAGGGAGAGGTGATAAAAATGGTTTTGAGAGGATCTATCTGAAGTCTGATTTGGCAGATGGGAATAGATTGTTAGGAAGCTGAAAATGTCATTTAAGTATGTTGCAATGAAGCCTCACTATGGGTCGAAGAAGATACTAATTCAAAAATATTTATTCAACACCTAATGATGAACTAAGCAAATTGTGCAATGGGACATCTGAGCAAGTGTTTGCTTTACATATATCTAGTCTAACTTATATTGTGAGGAATTTTCAGTTTTCTTTCTGGATAATATGATCCTAAACCTTCTCCACTTGGTGAGCTTCAGCTTTTCTTTCCATATCCTGCTCAAACATCGCCTCCCTGGACGATATGGTAAAATTCTATTAAATAACAATACATGCTTTTGATGGTATCCCCCATTATTTTGTGAGCAATAGATTTAGAATTTTTTTACCCATGTTTTTTCTTATGTCCATTGCCTAGCATATAGTATACATTAGTGTGTTTAATGAATTAGTGAATATGAGTTGTGTGGTAGATAATAGGGAAAGTGCTGTGTTTTTGTTGAACTGACAAAAATTATATCTATTTATAGTTACCTTGTGATGTTTCTATACAGGTATACATTTTGTAATGCTCAAATCAGGATAAGCATGTCTATTCCTCAAATATTATAATTTCTTTGTAGTAAAAAGATTAAAAAATCATCTACAGAAAAGATACTCTGTACATTATCTTTTGAAATACACTGTACACTGTTATCTATAGTCACCCTTTTTTGCAATAGAATGCCAGGACTTAGTTCTCCTAATTGTAACTAAGTACTGTTGACCACCATTTCTCCTTCCCTCTACCCCACCCCATTATGAGAAACTACCTCTAACTTAAAAATTCAGAACTATTATTTGGTGACACCCTACCTCCTGTTTGGCCTATGAATAGATAAATTAGCTGTTACGGACAGTACTAAGAGCTGGTGTGATGAGCAAAGCATAAACAGTGTTATTATGCTGGTTTTCTTTTCCTTGAAAAAGAATTAAGATACAACTTCTAAGTAACCAGAAGCTAATATAAGTAATAGGCAAAGTATATATAACTAGGTCATGCATAGTAAATAGTGCACGTATAGGTGGGCACTGTTCTAGATACTTCACCTGTATTAACGCCTTTAATCTTAACTAGAGTCCTGTGATGAGGCACCATCATTATCCCTCTTTTAAAGGCAAGGAAGTCAAAAGGTTAAATGTCTTGTTCATGGTATATAGTTTAAAAACAAACTACTGTAATAAAAGTAACAGTTCAGTAATGACAGCATATTTTATTAAAACAGATTTTTTTAGTTCATCTTAAAATTTTTTCTTCATGACATATAATAATACATCTGAAGCTTTGCATTGGAGACAATATTTTTAAAAGGTCACCTATGTAAGTTTTTGTATAAAATGCATTTTTCCTAGATTGGCAAAGATATTGACCTGACAGATAACATTTTTTTTAAATAAAAGGTTTGTTTTTGTAACATTTTCTTTGTAAAAAAATTACTCTTTGTAATATTTTCTGTTAGGTACCTGTTTTCACGAAAAATGGAAATGTATATATATATATATTTGAAGAAAATGTTGAGTCAATTGTTAGTATTAGAGAGAAAACAGAGCACATCTCTAGCATTGTTTAGAAACATTTGCCAAAATTACTAATTAATATAGGCTCATAAATGTGCATTGCTTTTTAATCAGCTCATATACATGGATAATAATACAATTGAATCTAACTAATAAAATTAACATATAAGGGTCACAGTTCATACAACACTAATTTGTAATTGAAATAATTTGATTTATAATTATTGTCATGATGGTATGTGTGTGCATATAAAGATTTTAAAAGTGGAACTACAATTAAAATATAAATGACTAATGGAAGAACTAAAGAAGTAATCATAAATTGATTTCTTGTTTCTTTTATTCTCAGAGTTAATTATATGCCTGCCAATAACAATGAAAACATATTTACTTGAATATTTGACTTGGCATTTATTGACCCATTTGTCAAGTGGAAGCAACGTAAAGAGAAACTAGAACACAATTTGGATAAGGCAGTGCTTGAGCTATTGTACAGTTATACATTCAGAAGATATTTGGGCATTTATTTTGGAGGTTGCTTATGGTCAAAAAATGTATTTAAGATGTACAGTATTCATTTTTTTCTGTTCTGTAAAACTCAGGTAGCATGTAATTAGAACTTGAATGATAGCATTTGCCTTTCAGGGCTCGATGAGTCCTTTAAAATATATGGTTGTGAAAGTCTCAGATTATATAGTATGATTACTTTGTGAATTGGACAGCTACAGTATGCCTGGTTAGGTTTGGTAATATGAAAACAGAAAGATGAGAACATGCCTTGGATTTACATTAATGCTTACCAATATGCCCAAAGCTTCCAATAGTCAAGGAAAGGTTTTATAGAATTAATATTAGAGCAAACCAAAATTAAGGACTCAGAGAACAATTGTAGTTTTTTTTTTACAAGCATCTAAAAAAGAGTTTCTTCTATTTAAAAAAAAAGCCATATAATTTGGGCATTTAATTTTTGTAAACAAATTATATGAAACCTCAGATAATACCATAACCCCTTAAGTAGGAGTAAATGGAGGAAAATCTGAGGCTATTTTATGAATAATTTGTTTATTCTTTCAGTTTTAACTTATTGCAGAAGTATAGCAATAATAAAATGTTTTATGAATTTTAAAGAGAAATTATATTGAAATAAAGACAAAACTTAAGGTGACTTTGTTTACTTCTTTACTTCAAAATGTGCACATTTCTTTTTTTTTAATTGGTTAAAGTTAGGAGCCTTCCAGAACAGCAGGCAAAGTCATATCCTTTAGTACTCTCTTACCTAATTAGGGAAAGAACAAAATCTCAAATTACCATCACTTATAATATTGAAATGGAATCTTATAATTAAAGTGTTTTTTTCCTTTCTAAATTTATTTTATTGAGGAACAATTTACATCCTGCCTAAATTTAATTTTATTATTAAATAAAAGTTTCTTAAAGGTCACGTGCAGTTGCTCATGCATGTAATCCCAGCTAGTTGGATGGTTGAGGCAGGAGAATGGCAAGGTTGAGACCAGCTTGGATGACTTAGACACTTTCTCAAAAAGTGAGAAAGGATTTGGATGTAGTAGTGGTGGTAGAGCACTCCTGAGTTCAATCCTCAGTGCTACAAAAAAAATTTTTTTTTCTTAAAAATATGAATGAAAGAAGGGCATTGTTTCTCCCCTCTAATTAACAACTTTTTAAAATGACATGAGTTATTTAATCTTGACTTTAGAAAATAAAATGGAAATTCTGTTTTTCAAAATTTAATACATTCCTATATTTCCATGAATTGTGACCAATAAATTTTTTAATGTTTTTATTAGTGTGTTACAGTTGTACATAATAGTGGAGTTCATTTTGATATATTCATAAATGTATGTAATATAATTTGCTCCATTTCAATCCTCAGTACTTCCCCTTTTCCTCCCCTCTTCCTTTTTTAAAAAAAATCATTTATTTATTTTAATTAGTTGAAAGTGACAGTAGAATGCATTTTGATTCATTGTACGCAATTGCAGCACAGCTTTTAATTTTTTGATTATACACAATGTAGCATTGTACCACATGCGCAGTTATACATGTACCTAGGGTAATAATGTCCATCTCATTCCACCATCTTTCCTGCTCCCATACCTCCTCACCACCCCACTCTCCCCTTTGCCCAAAGTTTGTTCATTTTTCCCATGCCCCCCCTCCCCATTATGGAGATGGTTTTTTGCGATTGACTTACTTTGCTTAGTATGATATTCTCTAACTTTATCCATTTACCTGCAAATGCCAAAATTTTATTCTCTTTTAATGCTGAGTAATATTCCATTGTGTATATATACCACAGTTTCATTGCCCATTCATCTATTGAAGAGCATCTAGGCTGATTCTACAATTTAGCTATTATAAAATTGAGCTGTTATAAACATTGATGTGGCTGTGTCCCTGTAGTATGCTGTTTTTAAGTCCTTTGGGTATAGACCGAGGAGTGGGATATCTGGGTCAATAGGTAGTTCCATTCCAAGTTTTCTAAGGAATATCCATACTGCTTTCCAGATTGGCTGCACCAATTTGCATTCCCACCAGCAATATGGGTGTTCCATTTTCTTCACATTCTCACCAACACTTATTGTTGTTTGTGTTCTTCTTGATAACTGTCATTCTGACAGGAGATGAAATCTTAAAGTAGTTTTAATTTGCATTTCTCTAATTATTAGAGGCGTTGAACATTTTTTCATATATTTATTGATTGATTATATATCTTCTTCTG